AACTCTGTAAGCCAATATTTTATGTTTTAATAAAGTTTTAAAGTTTTATAAGTTTGAATTTTTTGAGTATTTTGAATTATATCATTATGTTCATATACATCTGTTCAATGTTTGTATTTTCATTAATAAGATTCATGCATAAATTACGTTTATTTTATTATGTTAGTTTAATTACTTTCTACTGTAGTCATCCCTTCTGGTTCTAGACCCCTTCTGGTATCAGAGCCGTAAGAGTTGTGAGAATTTGAGTCTAAGTTGCAACTCATCCAACCCAAGTGGCTGGTTTAGGATGTCTGAGTTGAAGTCTTTAGTTTCTTCTTTTCTTTTCTTTTTATTCTTCAAGGTACCATTTAGTTTTCTCCCTTAAGGTCTGACCCGTGAGTCCTTTTTCCAAACGATAAGTCTCAGGGTGTGGCACGAGCGGTGGGCAGGAGACAGAGAGCTAGGGAGAGTACTGATAGGTTTCTGGTAGGATATTCAGAAAAGTTAAGAATTAACTGTTTATCTTCTTCTTCATTCTTCCAATCCATACACTTGAGTAAAATGAGTCGTCTCTTTAGAACAAATTCTTGTAGTTCGAGCAGCTCTAGAACCTCTATAAGCCGAATGCCTGAAATTGTAAATGATGAACAATTTGAGTATAATTCTAACAATGATAATGAACAATTAGATTTTAGAGATTGGAATATACCTAAAATTCCGAGTCAACATATTTATAAGAAAAAATGGTCTTTATCTGCATTTAATTCAACCACACATGTTAAGACGGTAGAACAAGTTTATGCTCTAAGCAAAGAACATGAGTCTTGTCAGTTACTTAATTTAGACTCCATTAAAAAACATAAGCATGATGGTAACAATTTCTTGCATATTGGTCTTGTTCAAGTAGCTGTTAAGCCTCTAACCCGATTAGGATTACAAGCCTCTATATTGTTATGCTTGCGTGATGCACGATTTACTGAATTTAATGATAGTGTACTTGGCATGATTGAATCTAGCCT